AATATAGATTTTTATAAAAATTGCGAACATTTGAAAAAAAATGTCATTTTCGGCCAAAAAAATTTTGTCAAGAAATGTTAAATAAAAAAAAAGTATTTAAACATATTCGAAATAATCCGTATGTACTTCTGTAGTGCATATTATATAGTTTTTAAAAAATTTTGGTTTTTTGCTACAGGTTCAATCGAATGGCAGATCCCCGCAACGCCGATTTGACAAAACGACATTTAGTAAATTGGCTTCAGCGTCGCCATTTTGTTAAAAAAAAATAAAAAAATATTTTTACTTCTAAAGACTTGTATTATTAAAACCTTAAAACAAATTTTTTGTTACTTTTATTGTTTTCCTAAAAAAAATTCCCAAAGTTACCGATTGATTTTTAGGCGGTCAAGGTGGTGTAACCCCTTAAAGTAAATTTTTCTTTACTAAATAAGTATTTTATTGAATGTCTTCTTTTTTTACTTAAACTTTAATATTCTTGTCGTAATTCCCTTCCCTCCTTTACATTACCTAATTTCAAAAAGATCCTTTCAAGTGTTTGTGCTGTGCCATATTTGAGCTGTTCTTTTGTTTACAGAGTGGGACGAAATTGGCGCCGGTCTCAGAGGCGGAAGTGCGAGCCGCATTCACGGCACGTCTCGGCATGCCGCTCACCGGTCAGATGCTGCACGGCACCTTGCCGTTCTATCCGTCCTTGACGGTTATTGAAGGCGAGCCGACGTACATCCACAAGCAGATGCAGCAGAATCTACAGGAGCAAGCGACACCGTCATCCGCAACGGTGAGCGGCAGTAGGCAGCATCCGGCAGCGGCGGCGGCAGTGTATCATACCGCGGCACCGATCACGGATACACAAGTGGCGCACGCGAGACTACAAAAGGCTGGTCATCACCGGCCTTTAGGTAGTATGTTCCCTCTTTGCTTTCGTAGAAGCTCTTGTTATGCGCGTGCCCTGTTCCACTGCACGATGGTCTCTGCCGAGAAAAGCCTGCCTCTGGAAGCGCTCGCCTCGGCTAAAACTTACCGAAATCAATCGTCCAAAGTTTCCCCGTGGGACTTATTCCTGCACGAAACATAGCACGCGTCGTTCAATAAATCCCTAGTCGATAGGGGTGTCTGGCCCCCAAAGCACTTATAAGACTCTGTTTTCCTTTTCCTCTCATAGGTAGAACCCAATCCGCGCCCCTACCGCTAGGTCATCCAATGCTGCAGGGCGGCATGATAGCGCCGACTACCCATTACGAGGAGTATCTCGCGGAGAAGCAGCTGCACGATCAGCAACAAGCGCACAACTATCTGAAACAGCAGATCCGCCAGACTGTTCTGACGCGAGTGGGCTCGCGCGGTCAAGCCAATCAGCTGGATGAGGCACCGGAATCCGAGGAATCCGAAGTGATAGATCTCACGGGTAAGAAGGACCATCCGGAGGAGAGTGAGATCTCGAAGCAGCAGAGGGGCCGCGAACAGTTCTTGCAGCAACAGAGGGATCTCATGATGAGACACACATTGCAGACGAATGAATCGACCATCTATGCCGGAGGTTTAAGCAGGACCTCTCAGTCAGCTAGGCCACTCTCGAGAGCACTGTCGAGTCCTCTAGTACATCTAGGTACAACTTGAACATTCTTTTGTCATAAATAAGGCGCGCGCTACAAAAGATTTTTTGTGTTTAGTAATCTCTAACGCTTTTGATAAAATATAAAGTCGAACCTCGATAACTCGGATCGCAAGAGACCAGAAAAACTGTTCGAGTTACGGAATTTTCGACTGATCGAAATTCGAGTAAAAAAGGACTAACATATGAAAATTCCGGAGGCTTTGCACGAGAGTTTATAATTTTCCGATTATAATGGCTTTTCAAGGAAAAAAAATCAATATTTAACAGTGATTATTTATTGCATACGTATGATAAATGTAACCATAAAATAAAATACCAGCTATTACTCACGGTTACACATAGCTACAACTTCGAATTATAGAGGTTTGAGTTATCGAGGTTTGACTGTAATTTTGCTTGATGCATTAAATGGATCTTTGCGTTTGTCTCAATATTGTATCGGATCCGTGTGACATTCAAACATTTTCTCCTAGATATTCATCTATAAGGAATATAGAATTGAGAGCGACACAATAAAAAAAAGAGATTGGCATAAATTTAATCTAATTTCCAAAGAATTAGTATTTTTTAACTTATGAAATAACTTGTCTCTGAAGGTCCTCAGGGCAGCGGTGGCGATATTTTTGCACGAGGTTCCTCGCATCGACCCACTACGGGATTAGCCTATGATCCATTGATGTTGAAACATGCATGTGTCTGCGGTGAAACAGTCAGAGGCCATCCTGAGCACGGCGGTCGGTTGCAGAGTGTATGGGCTAGGCTATCGGAAACGGGTCTGTTGCAACGTTGCGACCGAATACGTTCGCGCAAGGCTACACTTGAAGAAATTCAAACATGCCATAGCGAAGCTCATGCACTTTTATTTGGTGAGTCTTGCTCTTTCCACGTTAATATATAGTAGCTTTAGAAAAAATAATTTTAACTAATTGTAACATAAAACTGGTATATTTAAGATAATTGTTACCCCGAAAAAGTAACACGTACTATTTAAAAATTAAAAAAAACTAAAAATTTTACGAAATTTACAATAGAAATTTTATAATTTTTCTCGATTTTAAACTAATTGTGCTATTTTTAGAGCTAAAACGATAGTCGTTTTTGCTTTTTCATAATTATTGAATAAATATTAATCCCAACTGTATTAACATTACTGTAATTAAATCACAAATGATTATCAATAAAATAAAGGAAAATAAATTGTACTGTAAAAAATTTTTTTAGATAATCAAATCTTAAATTGTAGAATAACTGTAGGATATAAATGCCAACAAGCAGTAATATTAATCTGATCTGGTGGTATGCGCAGGAACAAATCCGTTGAATCGACAGAAACTGGATATGTCCAAGTTGTCGCAGTTGCCTATCAAGAGTTTTGTCCGACTTCCCTGCGGCGGAGTTGGCGTTGATTCCGACACAACGTGGAACGAGCTTAATACTGCACCAGCCGCTCGAATGGCGGTGGGATGCGTTGTCGACCTTGCGTTCAAGACAGCAGTGGGCGATATTAAGAACGGCTTCGCCGTGGTAAGACCGCCCGGGCATCACGCAGAGACCAACCAAGCCATGGGTTTCTGTTTCTTCAATTCAGTGGCCATCGCAGCGAGGTTACTTCAGCAGAAACTTGACGTTAGGAAAATTTTAATCTTAGATTGGGTGAGAATTGTTATATTGTCATCATGCAACATGTTTTCTTGGCGAGAATGCACAATTGCATTATTTGACGAGGGGGTAACCCACTCCCGAATTTCGGTGTACAGCCTGTCAGAATTCCGTTGAATTCCGTCGAATTCCTTGAAGTCCGCTAAAGTCCGATGAATTCCGGTAAAGTCCGTTGAAGTTCGACGGAATCCACTCAGGGCTGGGCAAAATACACCATTAAAGTATTTAAAATACAAAATACAAAATACTAGGAATCTTAGTATTTGAATTACAAAATATAAAATACTTTCAATCTTTTGATTTGAAATACAAAATACAAAATACTTTCAATCTTTCGATTTGAAATACAAAACACAAAATACTTTTAAGTTTTTATTTGAAATACAAAATACTTTTTAATTTAA